AGACCTACTGTATTAATTAAGCAACACTGTACATCAAGCAGAAAACCTCTTCAGTAGCTATGTGGTTTCACATGTAAGATAGAATAAGATCTATATTTCTGGGACTGTCACTGTTAATGCTTTCATTAATATCAAAATTTGAATTAAATGAATATATAGAAATGAGACTGTAGAGCACCTAGAACAGTAGAAAAGTACTTACATGCTAACTATTGTCATTACTAATTGAAGGATAACCTGGTATCCAATATTTTCCTTCTTTTTTTTTTTTTAAGATTTTATTTATGGGCGCCTGGGTGGCTCAGTTGGTTAAGCAACTGCCTTCGGCTCAGGTCATGATCCTGGAGTCCCGGGATCGAGTCCCACATCAGGCTCCCTGCTTGGCAGGGAGTCTGCTTCTCCCTCTGACCCTCTTCCCTCTCGTGCTCTCTATCTCTCATTCTCTCTCTCTCAAATAAATAAATAAAATCTTTAAAAGAAAAAAGATTTTATTTATTTATTTGACAGAGAGAGACACAGCAAGGGAAGGAATGTAAGCAGGGGGAGTGGGAGAGGGAGAAACAGGCTTCCCGCCAAGCAGGGAGCCCGATGTGGGGCTCGATCCCAGGACCCTGGGATCATGACCTGAGCCGAAGGCAGATGCTTAACGACTGAGCCACCCAGGCGCCCCTCCAATATTTTCCTTCTAACTTATGCGTGACATTACAAAAATCATGTCCAGGTAGAAGGAGCCATTGAAAGGCCAAGAGAGACTAATGGATTTTTAACATAAAAGAATCCAAAAAGATCATAGATAAGGTTTTAGATTCACATTGTATAAAAACCTTTAAGAAATGACCACTTTGTTGAGTTTTGGGGTAGTATCAAAAATAATATCCATAATTGCCAAAAAGACTATTAAAATATTCTTCCCGTTTCCAATTATTATCTTTGTGAGACTAGGTTTTCTTCATATACTCTAACTGAAATAACATATTGCTGGGCACGTGGGTGGCTCAGTAGGTTAAGTGTCCGACTCTTGATTTCGGCTCAGCTCATCATCTCAGGTTGTGGGATCAGGCCCCACGTCAAACTCTGCATTCAGTGAGGAATCTGCTTGAGATTCTCTCTCCCTCCCCCCTTCCCCTGCACCTGTTTTCACTCTTTCTGTCTCTGCTTCTCAAATAAATGAATAAAATCTTTTAAAAAAATAAAATAACATTGTAACAGATTGAATGTAGAAGCAGATATGAGAATCTGGCTGTCTTCTGTTAAGTCGTGGATTAGATTTGCAGAAATGCAAAACAGTGCCTCTGTTTTCATTAAATTTTTTTCTGGTTTAAATAGTTATTTTTTATAAAAATAAGTGATACATGTTCATATGTAATAGCCTTATTGCTATTTAAAAAATTTTTTTTGAAATTTCTCAAAAATCTAACTTCCTTAGAATGCTCAGTAATTTAAAGACCATAAAGAATTTCTGAGACCAAAAGTTTGGAAATTGCTGTGTTAAGTAAAAGGAAATACGTACTGGTCAGCATGTGATTATTAAGAGTGTTTTCCACAAGCTGTTGATAGTCCTTTTAAATAATAATTCCTGGTGATTTTTGTCAAGTTTTACAACTTGGTAATCTAGAAGTATTCATGCCACTAAGGAACTTTAAATTTGTCCTGAATGCATAAAAATGCCAGGCAGGTAGCGTATTAGATTCTGGGGGACACACAAGATGGCTATCAGTTCTTGTACTCTAGAAGCCTATAGTCCGTCCCATAGGGGGTGGGGAGGTAGGAAATGTCCAAATGAGTCTTGGCAGAGTGTCATCCTCTGATAGGGCGGTTTGGACCATGAGAGGAGCTTGCAGGAAGAAGGGGGCAGTGAGGCAGCAGGGGATGAACGTGTAGTTTAATGTAGAGTTTGGATGCTGTCAGAAGAGGGAGGGGAGATGGTGATTGTTTGGTGGATTGCAGATGTGGCTGGGTACTGGCTATTTCCCACAAAGCTTACTTTTGTCACTCATCTTCATTTCATATGCTGTTTTTCTGTCAGATGCATCCAGTTCTCTCTAATGGGGTATGTTGCTATCTGCCTCTTTTTATCTTGGACCTAAAAAACATTTCCACCATTATATATATTCTATATTCAGGAGCTCCTGGAAATGGTAGGCCAGTGCCATTGTCTGCTTACCTTGGATCCTAATCCTCCTCCAAAATAATTTTGTTGTATTTCTTGCTATAAGAAACCCTAATATTTAAAAGTTGCATATGATTAAGAAATAATTTTGTTATAAAAATTGATTTTTAAATTTTCAAAGGTTGTTTTATTTTGGGCTTTTAAAACTACTAACCTTGTTAGTACCCATCATCGATAGAAACAAAAATGAGAGAAACAATTTCCAATTTAGGCTCTTAAGATCCTCAGTATACTTGTTTGTCTCACTTGTATAATTATTCACCTATTTTATGCAAACCAGTGGGATCTAAGATATTTGGTGTTTGTTTTAATATTGTGGCACATTTTTGAGCTAAATATGATAATATTGGCTTATGAAAATATTAAAAGAAGAAACAAAAAATAAAGGAAAAAGACTAAAAAACAGACCAGGAATGTTTGTTCTAGAATTATCAAGGACTTAGCAGTGCATGTGTAGCAGTGAAGGGGAAATGCTTTCATAGGCATCCACTTGAGAACCTTAGCATAGCACAGACCTTCTGGAAGAACCTGGAAGTTGAGCTGTGGGCACAAGTTACTGGATGGGCTGCAGCTGAAACCTTCTCGGATGACACATTTTGGCTAGACCTGCTTGTAGGCAGGCAAGCATTTGGAAACTGTTTAGAAATATAGGGGAGAGCTTTTGGCAGCTAGTTTTGCTCATAGCTAGTTATGAAACAGAAAGGAACGAGTTGGAAGGGAAATGGTCAGTAACACTGACTGCTTGTTTTTCTTGAAGTACTCATGATTAAAATAGCCTCCTGGCCTGTTTGATTCCTCTCAGACCTCCGAAAACAGCATGTCATTCCTACATGAACCTACCAGAACAGTCCATCTTTTGGCTTGTTTTTCAACATGCCATTCCCCTAGTGGGGAAATGAAGGTGCTTTGTACATTAAAGACTGTACTTATGCAACCTTTCCTCCCACCATGTCCCGTCCCACCTCTGCAGGGTTTTATTCCCCCTTGGGAAGTCCTGTTTTGCCCTGCTGGTGGGCTCCCCTTCAGAGGTTTCTTTGGAAATTAACCACTGCATGCACTGTTGTCTCCCTGTGAAGCCTGCCTAATTTTGATCATTTCCCTTGGCATTTTTGTATTCTGTTTCTCTTGAGATGTTTTATGCTTACCAGTGTAGTGATTGGACCTGTTCTGGTGTTTTGGGGATGGATGCTACTTCCCTGGGTAGTTGTAGTGTAAACTCCTTAAGAACTGGGCCACATCTTTCCTTTCTGAGTCTTCTCCCTTCCTTTGTTATATCTATTGCCCACTTTCTCCAAATAAGACTCTTCGTGAGAGAAACTGTTGGGTCAAAAGAAGAAAGTATTAGACCTGAAGGAAATAATCATTTTCCAGAATTCATTTTAACAACTTTACACATAATGTTAGGGATATCAACTCTGTGGAGGACAAACACGAGACCGTGTGGCATCTCTGGTGCTTTGCTGCTTTGTTATACTCTGCAGCACAGTGAAGTCCACCAGTCACCATTGGCAGCTCTCACCGTGTAAAAGCCCTCTCTCCCCAGCACTGCTGGAAATTCAAAGGTGGCTGTACAACACAACTTGTCCCTGGGCACAGAAAGGGTGGCCTGAGATCACCCACAGTTAGTCATGACACAGAGTTGAGATAACCAGGAGTTGGGAACGAAGCCCCGGGAGGGCAGGGACTGTATTTCTTTGTCCGTCACCATATACCTAGTGAGTACCCTATGCAAGGCCTGGGACAAAACAGTCAACAAGCATTTCATCAAGGAGTGAAAGGGGAAGGCAGTCCACACTTTGGGGAGTTGGGTGAAATGGGAAGGAGATCAGGAAAGGCTTTAACAGTAACAGTGGTTTCTGAAAGGAACCTGGGTTGGCTAGGATTTGAAGCAAGAGAGGGTGAGCTTTGCAAGTGCAGTAGGAATGACATAGACAGAAACAAGATGAAGTCTTCCATCTCCTAGACCTTCTGGGCTCATCCCCACACATCTTTTTCATCTCTGCTTTTTTTTTGCTTTTCCTTTTCTGGGACATGACTGGATAGCTCAGTCAGTTGAGCATCCAACTCTTGATTTTGTCTTAGGTCATAGTCTTGGGGTCATGAGATCGAGCCCCTCATCAGGCTCTGTGCTGGGCATGGGGTCTGCTTGTGATCCTCTCTCTTCCTTTCTCTTTGCCCTCCCCCCCCCCCCCTTGGCCCAAAGGCCTTTCCTGACTATCTTGTATAAAGAACTGTGAAAATATTTCATCGTTTACCATCTCCTTAATTCTTTGCCCCTTTTATCATCTGATCTAGTATTTGTTTCTTTGTTTTATACTCAGATAAGAATATAAGTTCTAATAAGGTAGGGGTATTGTGTTGCTCATTACTTTATCCCCAACGCCTAGGACAGTTTTAAGTGTGTAGTAGGTACTTAATAAATATTTGTTGAATGAATGAATGACCCAGTGTGTGTGCTAGGAACCATAGTTCTCTTGTTTATCTTTTAATAAGGTTTACAGAAGGACATGTGAAATGTTTTGAAAAGAAGAAACCTCTACTGGGATTGTACTGTTGGAATGTACCTCTCTGAGGTCTGAAGGAACAGTGGTATGGGTACTCATGACAGGAAGCTACAGGAATGGGGCTTTTAGAGGAAAGAGATTTTAGAGATGTGTATGGGGGGTGGGGGAGTGTACATGTACAGGGCAACACTAGAAATAGTGGGGAACTTAATTCTTCCTGTGTTATCCCTCATTTACTTGAAGTGAATTGTTTGTCTTGAAAAAAATGTGTGAATGTTTATGCCAGAACTATATAGTGCTAACCTAATCTGCTCTTTCCATGACAGGAGGCTGAACAGCACCCAGGGGGAAATTCGTGTTGGTCCTAGCCATCAGGTAAAGCAAATTTTAGTAGCTTCTCCAATAGGGTTTTATTTCTTATTATTCTGCTGGCCCTTTATTCTGTTAAGCAGCAACTTAGAATCATTGTTATGCTTTAGGGAATTTTATATAAATGCAGCGTTCTTTTTCCCCTGATACTGCATACTTTTTAAAAATTAAAAATTAAAAATTTTTTAAATGTAAAATTTACCATTCTAAACATTTTTAGGTGTACAGTTCAGTGGTTTTAGGTACATTCATATTGTTGTGCAACCATCAGCACCATCCACCTCCAGAACTTTTTTATCTTCCCAGACTGAAACTCTGTCCCTGTTAAACACTAACTCCCCATTTCCTCTCCCCAAGCCCTTGGCAACCCCTCTTCTACTTTGTCTCTGTGAATCTGACTCCTCTAGGTTTTTCATATCAGTGGAATTGCACAGTATTTGTCCTTCCATCTGGCTTATTTTACTTAACATAAAACCGTCAGGGTGCAGCCATGTTGTATCACATACCAGAATTTAATTTCTTTTTAAGGCTACCACATTTCGTTTACACATTCATTCATTTATGGACATTTGGTCACTACATACTTGAATTGTAAGTTTTAAAAAAACCCCTGCCCTTCAGAAGAGGCGGGATGGTTAGGCTCTTTGTCGGTCAGCAGCTTGTTGTGTTGTGACCTGTGGGCTCTCATGTTTTATTCAGTTTACTAAGACTCTCAGGGCCCTCTTTGCCCCCACCCCACCCCCATATCTCTGTATCAGGATGCTTTGACAGGCAGAACCAGAAAACTCTGGCTGCCTGTGGCTGTTTACGATCTCATATATCATCACATCCTGGTCAGACAGGACCAGGGCTCTGCTCAGCTTCTCTACAGTTCTCTTGGTGCCCAGCTGTCCCTCCACAGCTGCCTTCTTTCTTAGGTGGTAGCTGAATTTTACTGATTCTAAGATGTGCTTCTTTCCTTCACATTTTATTATCTCTGACATCAGACTTCGTTGTACATTCTGTAGTGTGATTATAATTTAATTGGCAGCATTTCCCCTTTCTAAATGCACTAAAATATTAGTGGATCTTACCGTGAATGAAATATAGCAGATGTTGAGAAGAGGAAAAGGGATCACCCTTCTTTTCCCTTTAAGAGCAAGGAACATTCTTCCAGAAGGTCTCTAGTAGTCTCTATATGTCATTGCCATGGATCTAATCACTGTCCATTTTTAAACTGTGAGGAAAGTGGGTTTAGCGTGATTGGCATGGGCTGTCATTTCACTTGGAATGGAGGTTGAGAGTGAGCCATATGGCCATCACATAGTACAGATGTGAGACACAGGCAACTCTTTGTAAGGATATTGAGGTTTTAGTAGTCTGTTTAGTTGTTCATTTTTCTGTCTGGATTTTGAGCATTCCTTGTATGCCATTCATATTTTTAAGAACCTATTTTAACTGTAATAAGAAAGAAATTAAGAAGTGAAGGAATATTAAAACCAAAACATAGAAACCATCAGAGGCATCTAATTTCTAGAAGGTACGTCTCATCTCAGGACTAGGATTATAACTGAGACAGACAAAAAGAAGCTGCAAGAAGACATTCTCCTTAATGCCTGCCTTGTTCAAGTATACCCTTGCCTTGGTGTGGCCTAGTAGGTGGGTCTGACTACCACCAACTATATATTCTGTGTCTTCAGGCCTAGGAGTTATAATTTAATCAGGGAATCCAATACTAACCTGGTACCACTGGACTACCTGTCCCTCTCTCTGCTCTCTTGCCACTGTATTTTCCCACCCATTTTTTCTTCCTCTTTGTGTTTCTTGTGTCTTGAGATCTTTGTACTAAAGTTTATTTTACTGATTTTTTTTCCTTGCCATAATAGAAAAAGTGGTGGGTTTTTTTTGTTTTGTTTTGTTTTTTTAGAATTCTCACTTCCCTTTAATCACTGAATTTCAGTTTTTACGAATAATCTTAGGACAATTCAGGTAACTAAGGTTTGGGGAGGGAAAACAGTTCTTGTACATGAAGAACTAGGACATGCTCAATTGTTCTGTAAATAACTATTGGCTTCGATTAACAAACATTTTCACAGAAACAGATTTTTTAAAGCCAAAGATCACTGCATTTATATTTACAAAAAAGCCATAAACAAACATCCACTTCCCCTTTACTGGGAGAACTTAAATCAGTGTTTGAACATTAAGGCAGTGACAATTCTAAAACAATGAAATTCTGAGTTAAGGCTTTATGTTTGTTTTTGTTTTGTTTTGTTTTTTTTAAAGATTTTTTATTATTTATTTATTCATGAGAGACAGAGAGAGAGAGAGGCAGAGGGAGAAGCAGGCTCCCAAGGAGCAGGGAGCCCGATGCGGGACTCGATCCCAGGACTCTAGGATCATGACCTGAGCCGAAGGCAGATGCTTAACCATCTGAGCCACCCAGGCGCCCCGTTTTTGTTTTTTTTTTTTTAAGGTTTTATTTATTTATTTGGCAGAGAGATAAAGAGAGAGCACAAGTAGGCAGAGAGGCAGGCAGAGGGAGAGGGAGAAGCAGGCTCCCCGCTGAGCAGGGAGCCCGATGCAGGGCTCGATCCCAGGACCCTGGGATTATGACCTGAGCCGAAGGCAGCCGCTTAACTGACTGAGCCACCAAGGTGCCCCTATGTTTTGAAACCCATAGTCATAGGCCACTGTGACCAAGAAAAAGTGGTTCTTAAGTAAAAGATGCTTAAATTCTTGGAAAGGAACAGATTTAGTATGCTTACATTCTTGTATACTTACATTTATTTTATATCAGATTTTAAATATATTCATTAGGCTTTATTTTAAAAAAGAAATGTTTTGGAGCACCAAATGTAACAGGACTTTTCTATGGATTGGCAATATTTTCCTTATTAAAATTTTAATTTTTTTATTTGGTGCAATATTAACATTTGTAAAAATCAAGAAAGAATAGTAAAATAAAAATAAACCCCCTTATCCTTATTAGTCAGCTTTCACACATACCAAGTTATGGTCAGACTTGTTTCATTTATTCTCCTTCACACCTCTCCAACCATTATTTTGAAATAAATCACAAGTCTATCATTTTATTTGTAAATATCCCAAAGATAAGAGCTCTTTCAGAAAACAAAGTCACAATATGTAACACCTAATAAAAATTAGCAATTTCTTAAGTACCCCCTTGGTCCAGATTTCCCTAAATATCTCTCTTTTTTTTAATAGTTCAGATTGGAATCTAAATAAGAGCCATGCATTGCAATTGGTTAATAGGTTTCTTAAATCTCTCTTAATTCATATTATTGTTCTCATTTTTTCCCCTTCTCTCAATATATGTATTGAAGAAGGTAAGTGTTTTGTCCAGTAGGGTGTCCCATAGTCTGGATTTGGCTGATTTCATCTTTATGTGTGATTAGACTTGTTCCCTTGTCCTTGGCATATCTTGAAAATTAGTAGTTAAATCTAGAAGTTTAATATCATCCTAGTTCAATATCATCCTAGTTCAGTCCTCTGCCCCTGGCATGGGTGGTGCTGTGTAGTCGACCAGGAGGAAGTATGTGTGTCCTTGTAATGCTGATTTGCAGCCATGGCTTATTACTTAGAACCACCCTTTAAAATGGTGAAACTCTATCATTCCTTCATTTATTAGGTGAATAAAGGAAGCTTTCCCTTTACCACCAACTATTTGATTATCAGAAGCACAGAGGAAAGGCAAGATAAATGCTCAATTCCTTCCTTCTGTTCACCAGTTTTCAAAAATATTAGGTTGGTTTCCCAACATCTTCCCGCAGTCACCAGTGGATTTTAAATTATTTGTTACCTGCTAGCCAGTTGTCCTTACTCTCACTGATGATGAGGTTACCCATTTGGGGCTGGTGGGGTGCCTCTTCCTGCCGTCTTCCGTGTCCTTTGGACGGACCCCAGGGATTCTTGGTAGGGTTCTTTTAACTGCTCTAACATGATTTTAATGTCTCATCTTGTATATTCCCTGCCCTTGATCTAGAATTAAACTTATCTCATAGGAGCCCTTATTGTTTTATTGGGAAGTGACATTTTTTGACTGGGTTCTGGGTGTTCATTGTTACTCGGTTGGTTACTATTCCTAGGCCTTTTCAGGGAAGAGGTTAGGAAATATGGCCCCCCCTTTTATTGAAGATAAAATATATTGCAGATTCTTTCTAATTCCAATTCAAATTTTTATCTGGGTTTTATATTTAATCCTATCTTTCTTTCCTTTTATATCTGTATCTTTTCCCCATGTCTTAAATCCCATTTTCAAATGACTCCAATATAATTATTCATTTGCTTTAATCCCATAATACGTATATAATAGTGCAGAATAATAGTACTTAACACTGCTACAAATACTATGGTTATTGAAAACAGCTTACTATTAAAATTTTTGTTGTTGTTGTTCTTAGAATATATCCCACTAGGGCCTTATAGGCAAATTAATATGTGTTTTAAAGTTAGTTGAAATAATTCCTAGAGAGGAACCAACTCAATATATAGTTAGTACATTTATTTCCCTTTGCTTTAGGGTTTTTAAGAGATTGTTGTTCTTTAAATTTCATTTTGTTTTTATAGTTACACAAAGTTATTCACATAACTCCAAACATACAAAGGAAGAAGTGTGCTCAAAAAAGTCTATCTCTGTCCCTTCCACATTTTCCTTCTCTCCCTGATGGATAATTGTTGTTTTGATTTATCCTTATTTTTTTTTTAAAGATTTTATTTATTTTTTAACAGAGAGAGAGAGAGCGAGAGAGGGAACACAAGCAGGGAGAGTGGAAAAGGGAGAAGCAGGCTTCCCGCCGAGCAGGGAGCCCGATGTGGGACTTGATCCCAGGTTCCTAGGATCATGACCTGAACTGAAGGCAGATGCTTAACAACTGAGCCACCCAGGGGCCCTGATTTATCCTTATTTTTATTCCCCAACCCTCTGTTCTTAGATTAGTGGTAGCATGATACACACATTTTACCAACTTCCTTTTATCTTTTAATAATGTATCCTGCTGTTCCCTCCATAGTAGTGTGTAAAGTGCCTCCTCATTTCCTTCTCCCACTTCCTGAACTCCATTGCGGGGATGGAATAGTTTATTCTTACAGTTCCTATTGTTGGGCATTTAAGTTGCTTCCAGTCATGTGCTATTACAAGTAATGCTGTAGTGAATGGCCTGAGCATACAGATTTTTATATTTTTGCCGATGTATCTTTGAAATATATTCCCAGAAGGGGGATGGCTGGCTTAAAGGGCAGGTGCACGTGGAAATGTGAGGACATTACAAGATGCCCCTCTGTAGACATTGTACCATTTTTGCATTTGTGCTAGGAGCTCACGCAAGTACTAATACAAGAGCCTTGTATGTTGTCACACTTTGGGATTTATGTCATTCTGACAGATGAGAAATGGTATTTCAGTGTCATTGATTTGCCTTTTTCTTATCAGCAAGTTTGACCATGTTTTCTTATCATTGAGTCATTTGCATTTCTTTTTCTATAAACTGTCTAACTATATTTTCAGCTTATTTTTCTCTTGACCGGGGAGGATTTGTCCTCTCCCACAATAATAGTACTTTTTAACTAATTTAACAAACAGCCATTGGAGACCTACTACACCAGGTACTGTACTTGGTGCTGGGGAAGCAGAACTCTGTACAAAGGTCAGAAAAGGCCTTTTGATGCAAATATCTCTTGTGTTTTAAATTTTATTCCAATATGGTTACTATGTCTTAAGCAGAACTCATTGAGGCACCCAATTAAATGTTATAAAAGTCAATACTAAATTAAAGAAGAGCATCCTTGTTTGGAGAAAGTCAGTGCTTGGTACACATTTAGAGGTATCAGAGATCTCCTGTGAGGCAGACTAGTAGCCCTAAGACCACATGGTCTGCTAATGTTATGTTTTGCCACAAGATTATTTTAAAAAGTCAAAATTTCTGGACTTTGGAAAAAAATCAGGGGATATACAAGTACTGGTTCTCATTCTTGCTTGGTTGCTTTTCCTGGACAGGGCAGCACTCTCTCCATTACACCCTGGTTCCCTTCACTCCTTAGCACCTGATACCTGTGTGCCCAGGACAGGAGCCACTGTGCCCAGGACAGGAGCCACTGCCACAGGTGGCTGTGAGCACTTGAAATGTGGCTAGGTCAGACGGGGAGGTAATGTTTTACTCCATGCGGATACTAGAATGTTTAGAATGAAACATGTAGCTCTCATTTTATTTCTGTTGGACAATGCTGCCTTACCCTCTCCTTGCTTCATTTAATTTTTTTGCCTGGTTTCTGTGGGCACTGGAGCTTTTTAACTGTAGCTGTTAGTTTAAAACATTTGACAGATGTGTCCGTGTTCATCATCTGAGACAATAGGAACATGTGTGTTTTGCAGATGCTTGGCTTTATAGGCCTCTGATGGTTGTGGTAGTCGTAGTACATGCTTGGACTCTTGCTCGGCCCCAGCAGAGTGAGGATGAGAACATGCTAGGGGTATTTGGATCTCTAACCCAGAGGTGACTTAGAATCTTGGTTGTTGAGCACTGTCGTTCAAATATTTTTAAAAAAATTTATTGAGGTGTACTTGGTATACAGTGAACTTGTTCATATCTTAATGTAGACTGTTGAGTCTGCTGTAACAGTTCATATCAAGGTGCAGCATTTCTCTTGTCTCTGAAAGCTCCTTCCTGGCCCTTCACAAGCAGTCTACTCCTCCTGAAGCTACTGCTGGTCTGATTTCTGACACCATCATTTAGTTCAGCTGTGTTCTTAATGTTAACTCCAATTCTGTCTTTTTTTTATGTTTACCTTGATAATACTGTAGTTATTGACTCTCTTGAGAGTAGCTTAACTTAATAGGATAGCTTGTTAGGTATTTTAGCAAATATCCTTAGGTGAGGTTTCATTATTTATATCTGTCTCTTTGTAAACTTGTAATATTGGAAATGTGTGTGTTTTTCCCTTTATCAAGGAACTATTCTGTCCTGAGGGGTTTTTTCCCCCCTAATTTCTTTTATTCACATGCATCCATTTTTGTTTTACTCTTTGGATCATGCTGGCACTGGTTTATTTTGACAGTGTTCGCTGCTCCTTACGTAGAGATTAAGCAGTCCATTGTGAAATCTTCTGTGATGAAATGATCCTGAAACGTGCTACAGGCTGGTTTCAGTGACTCACAGTTGTTTCTGTTATTTCGGTCCTGCCTGAAGAAAGAGGCTCAGTAACTAGTGCGTCTGTTCCCAGGGCCTGCCTGTTGAGGCAGCTCTTTAAATGCTCCTTGATTGTGACTTTTTCATCCCTGTCTTACAGGCCAAACTTCCTGAATTGCAACCGTTCCCTTCTCCAGATGGTGACGCTGTGACCCAACATGAGGAACTGGTCTGGATGCCTGGAGTTAATGACTGTGACCTCCTTATGTACTTGAGGGCAGCAAGGTAATAGGAATTCTCCCCATTCTGCCCTCTGATTTAGGCCATCTGAATTGATTAGGAGGCAACAAACTTTCTCCTTTCCCCTGAAATTTTATTTATACATTGAACATTCTCTCACTTTATGTTTTCTTATACCCTCTGTAATCAGAGCTCTGAGTTTTCATGTCAGAGAAAAAAAGTTTACCATGGTAAAGTCACTTTTTTTTTTTTCTCAATCTTTGCCCCACAGCAGATTTTAGGACTCTTCAGAAGGGAAATATCTTAAGCCATACATGCAATTATCAACACTTCTAAATACAAGTTGAGTGATTGGGTCATTTAACCCGTTTTAAAATCCCATTACAGATTTCTCTACTTTAGGCTGTTCATTGATGCCTGACCCAAGCTTGGTGTTTTTGTGGCTTATCTACATGAGAACTTGTTAACCTACAAATGCCTAAAATATAAAAGATAAGTTTAAATCTTTCCCTGCTCATCACAGTGCAGGCAAAGAGCCTTCCTTCGTCTGCAGTGGTCTCTGGGACTCACCGCAATGTCAGCAGCGTGCACCACGGCAGGCCCTGGTAACTGAGCTTTAATCCTGTGGTCAGCTATGCTGTGCGTAGAGGTACACAGCAGAGACGGGGCTGCCTCAGTGTAGTGCATGAGTGGCCACTAAATTCTTTTCATCCCCTTTCCCGCTTTTAACTCACTTAAGGTTAGTTGATGTATAGCATGAAAGGAATTAAGCAAAGTTTCAGAGGATTTAATTTTTTCAAAAGATCTTTCAAAAAGATTATAATCTTTCTTTCAAAAGATTGTATTCTAGCCAACTATCGTGGCACATTGTTTTAGCTTATTCATGCCCTCAAAACTAAAATCTGAGTACTGGTAAAGCATGGGAAGAAATAACACAACTGGACTGGAGTAAGTGAAACATTTTCCTTTGTGACTGAGTGAAGGGTGAACTGTAGAGGATCTTAAATTTTTTTTGAGAAAGAGAATCTTAAGCAGGCTCCACACCCAGCTCTCATGACCCTGAGATCGTGACCTGAACCAAAATCAAGAGTCAGATCCTTAGGGTTGGCTCAGTTGGTTAAGCGTCTGCCTTCGGCTCAGGTCATGATCCCAGGGCCCTGGGATCGAGTTCTGCATCGGGCTCCTTGGTCGGGGAGGGGAGCCTGCTTCTCCCTCTGCCTGCCACTCGCCCTGCTTGTTCTTTCTGACAAATAAATAAGTAAAATCTAAAAAAAAAAAAAAAAAAAGTCAGATGCTTAACTGAGCCACGCAGGTGCTCCTAAAAATTTTTTTTTTAAGATTTTATTTATTTATTTGAGAGAGAGTATGCATGAGCATGCAAGTTGAGGGGAGGGGCAGAGGGGGAGAGAGAGAATCTCAAGCAGACACCGTGCTTGGTGTGGAGCCTGTGCTCAATCTCAAGACCCTGAGATCATGACCTGAGCTAAAACCAAGAGTCGGCTGCTTAACTAACTGGCCACCCAGGTTCCCCTAAAAAAAGTTTTTTATTTTATTTTTTTTTTAAGAAAAGCAGAAACAGGACTGAGAACTCTGACTTATCATGCATATAGTAATGGAATTTGGTTTGGGCTGAAAATGTACTCTGAAAACCGAGGGTTAAAATTTCTTTGCTGATGTTTTTCCTTTCTGTCCTCCAAGGAGCATGGCAGCATTCGCAGGGATGTGTGATGGAGGTTCCACAGAAGATGGCTGTGTTGCAGCATCTCGGGATGACACTACCCTTAATGCACTGAATACAGTGAGTCTTTTGAAGTTGTCCTGGGTGGGAACAAAGTTCTTTATCCCTTGTGCTAGCTGTAGGGAGTATGCGATGAGTATGGAACATGAAGGAGCCTGGAATCTTAGGAGTGAGTACTGTGGTATAGTGCTGGGATTGAAAGATGGGCTGTGGTCTTGGCTTTGGGCCCCACAACCTTGATCCAGTGATGTGGCGCCTCTAGGTTCATTTCCTCATCTGTGTCTGTACCTCAGGATTGTGTTGAGCCTCAAATGAGAGCCTGATGATAGTGGTTGATCTTCATCAAGATCCCACAAAGCCGACCACTGTTAACAGATGATCTTACTTAATTCTCACAATGTCCCTCTGAAGTAAGTTTTATTATTATCACCATTGTAGATGTGAGGAAATAAGTTTGGAGCGATTAAGTCACAAGCCAAGGTCATACACTCAAGGTGTGAATCTAGCGTCCATATCTTTTGCCTTCTTCTCTGTCTCTGAGACTGTGAATTTGAAAGTGTGTGGAGGAATAGAGAAGAAGCCAGACTTCCTGGAACAAATTAGTTTTTTTATAGATGTAGCTTTGGAGCCATGTAAATATTTCACATGATTATACAACAAAATTGAGTTTTAAAAATAATCTTAAAAAAACATAAAGTAAAATGTACCAAGTGAGCCTAACAGCACTGAGTTGGTTGTATGGCGTCCTTCAGGATTACTCATCTGCTTTAATCCTGTAACACACACAGCAGCTCAGAAGAACAAAACTCAAATTGCTATAAATAGAATGATCACTGAAACCCGTTTACTTTTTTTGGACATTCCTTTTTGACATTAAAATACATCCTATAGGGCTGTGTAGGAAAATTAATGTATTCTAAAGTTTCTTGAAATAATTCTTCTCTGTGTGGTTACTAATGTGAAACCATCAAATCTGATGAAGTAATAATGGGTTTCTATGCATTACTGATGTACTAATAAAGTTATATATATTTACATAGGATACTGAGCACAAGGCTCAGCAACTCCTAATGACTAACTAAATGTAATTTAAGCACCCTTTTTGTTTTTCATTTTTCTTGAGAGGTCACTGTAGTTGGAAGGGACTTTTGAGATAATCTGTTCAGTCTCTAAATAGATAATAATCTAAGGCTCAGAAAGGCCAGATGATTGTTGAATGCCAACAATCCAAAAAGTTCATGATGGAGGATAGAAAATAACCCAGATTCCCAACTTAGGGACTTTTCTACTCCAGCTTGCTTTCAGGGAGGCATGTGGATATGGCTGATTTGCATTCCTGGTCTAGTTGTGTTTCCTGAGTATTACATGACATGATAATAGTCTCTTATGTGTTAGAGACTGAGTGATCTTGCTGAGATTGGGCCGTGTGCTAAATAACTGGATGATTTTTTACATTCCCATACATTTATTTCTTTTACTTTCTCGCCTCTTCGATACTTAGAGTTTTTGTTTTTATAAAGGGTCTTTATTCTGAGTATACATTATTGAGCCAGAAAGGGGCCTGTGAGAGTATTTTATTGATGAGGAATCAGAGACTCAGATCGGTGAATCTGTAGACAGTGGGAATGGTATGAGTGGTGTGAATGTCTGTGAATTCAAAATACCCTAAAAAGTGTGTGTTTATTCAGAGTAACTCTTTGATATGGGCTTGTCTTCTGTGGAGTTTTTTTGCATAAAAGCTTTATGAAAAAATTTCCCCTTTCGCGACCATGCTGATCAGTTGAATTTTTAAATAATAAAGATGTTGCCGTATTTAATTAAATATCTATTTTTGGCACTTTACTGAATTGATCTGATTTGTTCTCTTTATTTCAACCCCTCTAAGGATTCTGTAGAACATACTTCTATACAGAAATAATTTGGGCTATTTTTGCCCATGGTCCTTTGTAGCAAGTTCCTTCTGAAGTTTTCTTAAGCATTGCCAGAGGGCTTTTGGTTTTATGAGTTTTTATTTCTGTGAAGCTGCCTTCCCATCATTTGAAATTTTCCTGTCTAGGCGTGTCCAAGATGGCTCAAGTGTCTTGGGTTATGCAATCCAAGTGCGTTTAGCCACCAAAGAACTGAGTTGTGTGTACATTTTGTGATGAATGGAAAAGTTTAGTGGCTGTTTTAATTTTTCTACTTGATTGTTTTACTGGCTTACAGAGTTTGAGTTGTAGGTACTTTCTTTAATGAAAAGGGAAGTGAATTGAAAAATCTTATAAGAAGTTAATGTTTATTTCAACTTCCTTGGAGTAATGATGGTTTCGAGCTGTGTTAAGTAATAAATTCAAAAGATAAATACATTGTCATGTGAGAACTATTTTTTTTTCTTAGAGTCAAACCAAGGTTTTAGGCATTTCTCAGTTTATAATAAACCTGTGTCTATTTCCTGTTTCTCACGACAGTACAGAAATTTAAAGTGTATGAAATTCTACAGTACAGTCACATTATAGTGTTTAACAATCTGAGTAGGACTATTTAAATTTAAATGCATTTAAATAAATAGTTTGATCTTTAAAACTACCATCTCGAATAGAAATTTTTGAGCTATTAATTCTTAATACCTATTTTTAAATAGAAGCTCTTCTACATTACTCGTTTTGACTCAATTTCTTTTTCATTATTCACAAATGAGATTTTTAGTGTGTAAGGTTTAAAACAACATATGGGGTATAATTTATGTATAATAAGCTGCTCTGATTTAAAGTGTATACAGTTTGGGCGCCTGGGTGGCTCAGTTGGTCAAGCCTTCAGCTCAGGTCATGATCCTGGAGTCCAGGGATCGAGTCCCGCATCGGGCTCCCTGCTAGCAGGGAGTCTGCTTCTCCCTCTCACCCTCTTCCCTCTCGTGCTCTCTGTCTCTCATTCTCTCCCTCTCAAATAAATAAATAAATAAAATCTTTAAAAAAAAAAAATAAAGTGTATACAGTTTGATGGTTTTTTTCAGATGTATATACCAATGAAACTACTACAATGATCAAAATACAAAATATTTCCAAATTCCCCACAGTTTCCTCATGAACTTTTATAATCCCTTGCTGCTTCTAGCCTCAGACAACCATTGATATGTTTTCTCACATCATGGATTGGTTTGCATTTTCTAGAATGTTGTATGAATGGAATATCTTATGTAATCTTTTGGGTCTGGCTTTTTTCAGTGTAATAATTTTGAGATAGATTTCTGCTGTTGCATTATCAATAGTCCTTTTTTAATGCTGAGTAGTATTCTCGTGTATGGATATTCACAGTATTTTATCCATTCACCTGGTGATGGACACTTGTGTTGTTTCCAGGCTTTTGGCAATTATAATAAAGGTGTTATGAACATTGTTACTCAGTCTTTGTGTAGATGTGTATTATCATTGCTCTTGGGTAAATACACCTAAGGAGTGAAATGGCAGGATTGTATGTATGCAGGTAGCTTTTTAAGAAACTGTCAAACATGTTTCCAAGTGGCCATACCATTTTACATTCCCATCGGTAGTATGTTAGAATCTCAATGCTTCAGCATCCTTAACAAGACTTCATTTTGTCAGTCTTTTTCATTTTAGTGATTTTAATGGGTGTGTAGTGATATCCCATTGAGATTTGTTTGTTGGTAAAGATTCCTCAGCATTTGACATTACTAATGATGTCTGTCTGTATCTCATTCAGTGAGGTTTTAATTTGAATTCCCTGTCATATTGAGCATCTTTTCATGTCTTATTGCCCATTTGTATGTCTTCTTTTGTAAAGTATCTTTTGCCCAATTTTAAAAATTGAATTGTTTTTAGTATAATTATTTAGTTGTAAGAGTTATTTTTATATTGCAGATACAATTTCTTTGATACATGTATTTACAAATATTTCCTCTGTTTTTCTGTAATGGTGTCTTTTAGAGAGCAAAATGTTTAATTTTCCTAAAGTCCAGTGTATCATTTTCCTTTTGTGAGAGTTTCTTTGATCACCCCATGATAACATGGATCGTTTCTGTGCTTTCTTGATGTTTTAGTTCTTGCCTTCAGGTCTGTGATTCTTTTCAAATTAATTTTGTATGTGATGTGAGATATGGGTGGAAGTTCATTCTTTTCTACACAGGTGCCAGTTGTTGGAGCAACATTTGTTGAAAACAGACTTTTCTCATTTCGTTGCCTTGATGCTTTTATTGAACATCAACTGCCATATAAGCATACAGCAGTTTGAGTCTTTTTCTGGATTCTCTTCTGTTTCACTAATGTAATATCTGTCTTTTCACCAGTACCTCAGGATTTTGAGTATTGTAGCTTTGTTGTTGTTTTTGAGAGAGTGAGCGAGCACGAGAGCGCGTGCCTGAGGGCCGCTGGGGGAGGGGCCGAGGGAGAGGGAGAATGACAAGCAGGCTCCCCGCCAGGCTCCATATCTCTCAACCCTGAGATCATGACCTGAGCCAAAATCAGGAGTCTGATGCTCAATCAGCTGAGCCACCCAGGTGCCCCTTGAATACTGTGGCTTTATTGGAACTCAGGTAGTGTAAATCTTCCTACTTTTTACTAGTTTTTTAAGATTGTTTTGGTTATTTTAGGTCATTTGCATTTCCATATAAATTTTAGAATCAGCTTGCCATTTCTGTTTTTAAAAAGGCTTGATGGTATTTTCATTGGGATTGCATAGAGTCTGTTGATCAAGTTAGGAAGAATTGGTTGACATCTTAACAATATTGAATCCAGAACATGAAACATATCTTCATTTTAAAAAAAATTTTTATTTAAGTAATCTCAGGGCACCTGGGTGGCTTAGTCAGTTAAGTGTTTGACTCTTGATTTCTGCTCAGGTCTCAGGGTCATGAAATCGAGTCCTGCTCTTGGGCTCTGTGCTAGGTGTGGAGCTTGCTTAAGATTCTCTCTCTGCCTCTTTCTCTGCACACCCTGCCCCCTCTTTCCCTTTCTTTAAAAAAACAAAACAAAACAAAAAACTCTACATCCAGCGTGGGGCTCAAATTCACAACCCCAAGATCAAGAGTTGTACCATCCACCAACTGAGCCCACCAGGCACCCCACATA